TTTAAAAAGTATATTTTATAAAACAAAAATTAAATTTTATTATTTATATGTTGTGTAACATAATAATAGGGGTCTACAGATTAAACCTGGACCCCACAGTCTAGGTTAAGATTGTCCTAAAGAAAATATAGCCTTAAGAATAGGGTTAGAGTGAGGGCGAAAAAAGTGCTTAGTATATAGTAAAATTTAGCAAGGAATTTTTTTTAATTAGAATGTAGTTTTATAGCCAAATTTTCGAGTTACTCAAGTAAAGGATATTTTTACGTTACACCTGATCTAATATTTTGATTGCTAGAATACATAATTGAAAATATGCAAATGTTATCTTTGGATATAGATAAATCAGAACTATTAGATATGTTTGTAGGTGAATTTAGAATACAGTATCAGTGAAATTAATTGATTCCGAGTTAACTCAAAATTCTAAGATAACTTAGGTGGAAATTGAACATTTCTGAAAATAGTGTTCCGATCCTAAATCCGATTGCTAGATTGATCCTTAAATCTAGATAAATTCAAATATTCAAATCAGATATTTTTACTCGGATTGGGCAAAGAACTTAAATAACGGACTTAAAGATGTGGTCAAAAACTAGCTTTATATATAATCTGATACGGATTCAATCCGGATTTGACAGAATCAGGATGGCCTGTCAGAGATAGGATTGGAACACTATCTGAGAATGAAAAATACGCACAGTAAGCTAAAAAAAGAAATCAGGATATCATATCAGCACATCACTAACTGTTATAATAACAAGATTATAGACGGTTTAAAATGTCTATTAAGAAATGTTCCCTTAGTATAGTTAAATCGGGAAAAACTTTCGATATTTAGTAAAATACTTTTACTTAATACGTTATTGAAAGTTTTCTGTATAGTTTATTTGCATAAATTCCATCATCACATAAGAGTTTCATTGTCACGTACATTGTAGAGGTCGGGACCGATTCTGGGGTAAAAGTCAACCGGAAATATGTCACACGATAGATCGGGTCTAACCACAAACAACACCAATCCAACAATAAACCCTAAGCGGAAGGCTTCGAAAGAGAGCGTGGAAGTTTTAGGGCTTTTCTTGGATTATCCTGACTTCGGGTCACGTGGCACGTGACCCAGAAGTATCGTTATAAGCGAAGAAGAGTTTGTAATTAGAACGAGTAAAGGAAATTCAAGAGGGACTAAGTAAAGACCAGTAGGATACTTATCAAGATAATCCAAGAATAGCCCTAAAACTCCAGCCAAATATTCCATGCCCTCTTTCGACGCCTTCCACTTAGGGTTTATTATTGGATTTGTGGAGTGTTTGGCTAGACTCGAACTCTCGTGTGATATATCTTCTGGTCGAGTTCTACCAATAATCAGTCCAACGTATGTATTTAAAATTATCAGTTATGAAGTTTTTGATGCCTTAAGAGATTCTTGAATCTTACGGAATTGCAGCTTAGTAATGGCATGGAGTCCCTTTAGTTCAGAAATTGGTAATCTAGCATTTTTGTCACTGTGCAGCATATATAATCCAATTGTCCACACAGGCTCCGAATGATGGATCTCTTGTATTTTCCATCAGACTGCCAATAATTATTCAAGAAAAAAATATTTTATACAGCAAGATATAGGATTAAAAATTTTGCTTTTGATATATTTAGTATTATTATTAAAAATATAACTTAAAGTTTCAGATTACTTCTATTTGCATTATAATTTTGTTTAACATCAATTGGCAACATGTGGTTTCAAATAATAAAGCCTTTTAAAATCCATTTTATAATGTTCTTTAGGTCTTCTATAAAAAGATTAGTATATATAAATATTGCATTTACCGAATAAAGAAGGTATATAAGAAAATAAATAATATGAAGCTTAAAATAATGATTTAGAAAGGGTAACCTAAGTGCAAGATATAATACTAGCTTATGCAATGCCATAGAAATCTTTTAAAGTTAACAGTAGTGATCCCAGCCGATCAAAATTTTTCGACCGGCTAAGCCGATAAAATTTTATCAGCTTAGTTGGCTTAGCCGATAAATTTTGGATTTGCGAAGTTCAATGAATGTCTCCATATAATACTAGATAACCAATTAAAAGAATGTTAGTTTTTATTACTAATCAAAATCGGTCTCTCAATACATTATCCCCACATCGATTTTGCTCAAAGTGACTTAGCATTTACGCTAAATAAATTAGTATTTATTAATTAGATTTGTTTTAATGATAATTATTTTTGTATTAGAGATATACCTCACACTAAATATAATATAATCTTGTGCAACTTGCACAAAGTCACAGGTGTGATAAAATTCGAGGTACATGACTCTTTGCGGCAACAAATTCCATATCATTATTTTTATAGCTTAAAAATGATCAAAAACGTACAAAATATAATAGTCGTTATCTGAATGGTCAAGAAATTTATTACACCTTGGTGAGATGCGCTTTAGCCATTACACAAAATTGATAGATCAACATAAAACATTTAAGTTATTCGGGTTTTTTAATTGAAATATCCTAAATTATTAAGATATTTAAAAAAACTACAAATTACACTTTTTGTGGACAAATCAGGTATAGTGATATGTTTTTTTCAGTCAGAACTTTAGCAAACCGTATATATAAGGCTATTTGAATTTAAAACTTCATTTAATGTTATTTTCTCCGCACCTTCAAGGTCCCCCAAAAAATTAAACAATTAGAGTATCATGGAAAAATTTGGAAAGCTAGACAAACAATTAATGTGAACCTAATTTAGATTCACTTGAACCGATTGAATCTTGTTTTCTGTACCCCTCGTACAAACATAAAGAAATAATGTTAAATGAAGTTTCAAATTCAAATGGCCTAACTCAGAGTCTGAGTGCTCTATAAATTAAATTATCGTTTAATTGGTGCTGTATTTATTAGTTTTTTTTTTTTGAAACAAATTCAAACTTGCGATATTGTAATAATTCCTTAAATTCTGTCTATTACCGAAAAAATCCTGGATCCAACCATAAATTTGCAAAAAAAAAAAAAGACTTACTACAATATATAATAACTAATTACAACTTAATTAGCTAGAATTTAAAATGCACTATTCAAAGATTCTTGAACTTACTGAATGTTAAATGAAAGAAACTATTTGTAGATTTAAATAAAAATGAATAACTATAGTTTATATAGCACCAAACTTGAAAACTTACCAATGATATACGAATATAAAGAATTATTTGGAAACTTGGATGTGAACAGTAAATTAAGTAAAGATGAATAGTACGATTACTATAGTATACAAAACAGAGTACCATTTCTTTGAAATATAAATTACTTTAAATTCATAAATAAGTAATAGAAATATTAATAATATTGAATATGTTTTTGTTTTTAGAGGTGCAACCAAATCCAGCAGCTTACCAAATGCTATATCCCAAACTGGCAGAGCCAATATATAACTCAATTACAATAGTTAATAAGTGCTAAACAGGTTTAGGTCATACTCTAACTCTTGTAGAACATAATACAAAGCTAGGAACCTCAGTTACATCTGAGTATTTATTTTCTGATGCCAGAAACGTAGTTAATGAAAAAAGGAACTGCCTCCACCCTAACACAGTTCATGACTTACTTTTCTAAAAGAAAATCAACATGCTTTTAATCCTTATCCTAATTTAAGATAGCATAATTTCTTTAAAAAAAAAGAAAAAAAAAAAGGAAAAAAAGGAAAAAAAAAAGAAAGAAAAAAAAAAGAGGGGAAAAAAAAAAAAAAAAAAAAAAAAAAAAAAAAAAAAAAAAAAAAAATTTATCGAGGCAGAGAAATTATCCCTGTGCACTAAAAAATTTTTTTTATTTTATTTAATGCGAATGATAATTAATGATAAAAGGTTATTTATTCATGTTGACATGTTGACATACTTTTTTAAGATTATTGTATTTTCATAGCATTGTTTGTTTAGTTTAGATCGAGTGACAAATGTATTTATCATACTAAATATCATCAATCAAACTTGATTATGTATTAAACTAACTTATATTTGATAATGTTTCATGAGTGGTTCAAACATTATCATAAAGAACAAGGTATCGTGGAATCGTTGTCTATTCATAAAGTTATCGAAGAATATTAATATTAGTATCCAAAAAATGGCACAAAAAAAATAAATTATTCATAATAAAATATACCGCATCTCGTTCAACGATTATAACATCAGAAGGTGTATCATTAGTTGTCAAAACATCAATGATAAAAATAGTACCCGGACGTTCTCGTGGGAGCTTTTGGTTATATGCGAAAGTTGCCGCAATTGATGGCCTACGAGTAAAAATCACTAAAGTTGATAAAAATTAGTTCTCATAATTTCTCTAAAACTGATATTGCAAAATAAATGTAATTCATACTTTTTCCACGGCGTAAAAGTTTATACTTTGTTCCGTATTTAATGATACTACACATTCCACATTTAGAATCCGAACAAATCTTTTTATATTTTAAAAGTTTTCTCGGATCACAACTTGCACGAGTTCCATAATATAATCGAAGTTTAATTCTTTTAGGGGATTGGTTGATAGAATTTATCATCTCATGTTTCAATTTCCAACATTGTATACGCTGCTCTTGCAATGGTTTAATATGAATAATAGCTACAATTTTGACATGGAACATCGATTTAAGAAATTCTTTTTGAATTTTATTATATTTTAAATCTTTTTCAGGAAGAACTCTTATATATGGAATGAAATCGTATATTTCAGTAGATGTGAATGACATGGAATTTTTAATAATGACATTGCCACAGGTTTGTCCGCAATTTGGATATTCACGACCGTTTTCATCAACATAAGCGGGTTTCGTACATCCTGGTATAGAACAAATTTTTTTTGTTTTAGGTGACAAGAACTTCATTAGCGCTTTGAAAACACTCATTGAAAAAATCTCAACATGAAGAGAATTGCAATAACGAATTATTCAGAAATTTTTAGTTAAAATAGTCTTTCTCTATCTATAATATTGAAATATGATGGCAATAAAGGATGCTAATAATTCATTAGCGTTAGTTTTAATGATGAGGAGTTAATGTTGTGATACAGTATATTACGCCATAAAAATGCTTATAGCTTTCCCATACTAACACAGAAAACATTTAATATCCTCTGAGTTTTGACAAACAGTGTTTTCGATCAATATTCAAATGTTTAATTTTATTATTATTAAATTTTGTCTGATAAATATGTATGCTTGAAGTAGCAACTCAAATAGAACCTTCGCAATTGTTATGGAATCTAGGAGTTAAATAAACTTCTTTAAAAATAATTAAAGAGATATATAATTATAGTAAGGTATAATTGAAAAAGATTGAAATTAAATAGAATCGAATTAGAACAAGTATACTATCAAATTACTCTCTCATGTATCAAAGAATGGCTAACTAAGATTTGGCAACTAATTCTGACAAAAAAAACCATTCTCTCAAACCAAAGGAAAACACTAAACTTTACAATTATTAACCAACTAGTTCTACTATACAAAAATGATATATCACTTAACAACCTTTCCTTTGATGACCTACAAAATCTAAACCAAATGTATCAACTCAACTCCATATACAAC